TGGTCGCCGACGATTGGTCCGCGCCACTGCCCACGTGGGTGGGTGAGTGAGTTTAGTGCAAACTGTAGGTTGAAAATTGCGAGCACAGTCTGTACAGATTTTCGGCTGACAACAGGCTTAAAGATGTCTGTTGCATGATGTTGCGTGTTTGGGAAGCAATGGAATTGTTGACTTCCGCTGCTGCATCTAAATGAAGCAAATGCAGCCGATGTTTTATTGACGCGGTCGTGCTTGATCATTGGGTCAACTCACGATCCATCTCTTCGTGGGATAATACACAGTGAGAGTACCATGGTATGAAGATTTGCTGCACTCCTAGCGTGTGCAGAGTGTACAGAGGCCAAGGGCCAAGTGAGGGATGATGAAAAGCCCCTGTAGGGGATGTAAGAGCAGGCCGTCCCTAAGTTGACAGAAGGACAAGAACAAACACAACGACAACATCGATGTCCCTGTAAAACCGATAAGAGTAAACATCATTGAACACAGGAGTAACGGTCAAGCAAGTGGGTGGGGTCTTTTCAAGCTCCCTCAGGTGCCTTGAGCTGTTCTGCGCAGTGTGCCCGTCATTACTGACCACACACACTGAATAGACAGTGAATAAACAGTAGACTTGCTAGACGATGCTGCGACAGACAAAGGGCACTGCTCCAGCCAATGAAAACGGGAATGACATGCCTGATATCATGATACTCGTATATTCGAGCCCCGCGGGAGGTCCGCTTCTGCTGATACAATCACCACGTCTAGGACTCGAGTTTGGGTTGTAGTATCGGGGTCAGCAACGACAGGATACTTAATACTCCCATGTTGAGATCATGCACTTGCAATGTCTCTGGGTACATGCTCGCGCACTTCATTAGAGGGATGCCATCACGGAAGGGCTTCGCAATTGTTTCATGTGTTGCCAAGCTGTTGCTGTAAAGGCCCATGGAAGTTTCCTAAACCTTGTGTGCTTATTCTTACTACCAGCATCAGTATCAGTCTTCGTACTCGTGTTTGTAGTTATATCAGACTGAGTAGGGGTGTCGGTGTCCGTATACTCCGGATCCTGCTTGGAGGTTCATGGGTAGTTATAAGTGGAGTTATAAGTCCCCTAATATGGGTTATTATTATAGTTACTCTACTTATAACCCTTCTTATAACTACCCATGAACCTCCAAGTGTCTTTTGATGATGTTTGTGCGCGAGGAGTCCTCGGATCTTGGGGCCTGGCTCAAGGCGCCCCCGAGACCTTCTGGCAGTGACTCAGAAACCCAGAGAGCCCAATACCCCTTAAATAAGGAATATACCTTCAATCATAACATTAAGGCCCTTATAGTTTAAGGTATATTCCTTATTTAAGGGGTATTGGGCTCTCTGGGAAGTAGGGTTGCAAGGGTTTAGCCTCAGCTTCCTTTGTTCAGGGGTGCCGGGCAGTCGCAATAGGCCTGGATGCGAAACAAGGGCTTAGGTCGCTGTCGGACTCTCCACAGGCCAGCCGCATCTTGTGGCATTCCGTCGATGCGGCCGGCGTGGAGATGGGAAATCGGATATGGGCAAGCACGCCGCTTTCATCAAAGCTCTCTGCCCCGCTGAGCTGGCTCAGAGGGGCGGTTGTTGTGTCTAAGGATGGCCCTTCTGGCGTTCTCGAAACAGCTGGATGCAAGCTGTATCTGTTCGTCGCAAGACCCTTTTGCACGGGAAGCAGTCATCGCGCTCTCCTCAGGTCTGTACTGTGGTTTTAACAACTGCCGGCGCTCTTGTGCAAACGCCAGTTTGTCGAGGTTGTTCAATTAGCTTCGTTTTTCTGCTGTTTTGAGCATGATCCTGGCGACCAGCGTTCAGCCACAGCTGCGATGTCAGCAAACAGAAAGGCAAGCTTGTGTAGAGATTCAGCTGCAGGGTGTGCAGAAGATCAAGTGGCCTCGATTTCCGGATCCACGGATTGTTGAATTCCCTCTGTAGACCGCAGGTGCTGAAACCCTGAACCAAAAACCCTAAACCCGTAGTTCTGGGAGTTGGGCTGATGAGAGCCGGTTCAGCTTCCCGAATTACGATGTCCTGATGCGCTTAGGAAACGATTGGCGACATCTTGTCTTTCCTGAGGTGCGGGGCTCAGATGCAACATGAATTCAAACCTTGACGAAAGACTGCATGTTGCATGGCTGCTTGCTGAAGCCAGCTTTCACGAGCGTATTTCCAAACTCTCTGCCACATGCCATGCTTTGCTTCTAGAATACATTTTCCGAGGACTCACATTACGTAGTATTACTACACAACATTCTTCTTCTTATAATGACTATGATGCTTATGAAATATGATTATAACAAACATGACTAGTCTTACTTATTATAATTGTTGTTAAGTTATTGCTATGACAGTTGCTGTTCATTTTTCGTTGCACCATTATGCTGACCTGCCTAGCGATGCGCTCAGCAATGCAGGAGACAAAAATAGTGATAATGAAATAATAGGAATTATAATATTTAATAATTCTACTATGCGTATTATTCGTATGTTCTTACTTTAATCAGAAACTAGTGGTTATTGCTGATTTTTGATGATGATGATGTATATTAGTGTTAGTATCATGATGATGATTATTGCTGTTTGACGACCAATCTTCAGGCTCGATCTCCGAGCCTTCCCAAGTGCGGCAAATGGCGGCGCAGATCCCGAGACTTGGCTTTCGACCATAGAAGTGTGACATTCACTCTTAAATCACTCGCTCTCTCTATCTAGGGACCTAGATAGATAGAAGTGTGACATTCACTCTTAAATCACTCGCTCTCTCTATCTAGGGAAGGAGAGAGTGAAAGATAGGATGATTTACGGATATTGCTGTGAACGCTTGGCAAACCGCTGGATGCCACACGGGACATACTTGGAGGTTCATGAATAGTTATACGTAGGGTTATAAGTAGGGTAACTATAATTATAGAAACCCATATGAACCCCACTTATAACTACCCATGAACCTCCAAGTAGCCACAGCAGGCGGGTGCTGAGACAGAAGAATGAAAGCCAGGGAGAGCCTTGCCAATCCTCTTCGGTGAATGAGTGCTCTGTTAGAACAAGACTGGTAGCTTGCATAAATTCAGATTCAAGCGTGCCGTGCCGTGACCCCGTACCACAAGGTATCCTGAGTTCTGGAAACCGTCTTTGTCGAGGAAGGAAGCAGGCATTTAGGTCACCGGCGGCTGCCGGCGGTCTGTTTGGACCTCTGCAGTCGCCTTACGACCGTTCATGCGAGGTAGGGTGGGCCTGGGTCCGAGAGACTCTATAACACAAGGCCGACGGGCTAAATGCCGGTGGGTCGGCGACGACCTCTAAGCCCGGCAGAAAGAAGAAGAGCGCAAAAGAATAACAGCTTTAGCTACTCCTTCACAGCTTGCGTTTCTCACTCCCCTAAGCCCGCGATGCAGCGGGTGGGCATGGAGCCCGGGCCCAGAGAACGAGAGAGCGAAAGAAAGACAGCGGCAAAGCGAGGGACGGGTAGGGGCGGCTGCTAGGAGGAAGAGCGAGCTTATAGAGACTCCAACACTAAGGACATGGTTGGTCAACACCAACTATCCCTTTCTGATGCGATGCGCATCCCGTCATCAAGAGTTGATCCCGACCGCAGAGCATGGCTCCTTGTACAAGTGACACAGTAGCCTCTGCCGATGGCCTCGAATGCACACGGCCGGCGTGAAACCACGTGCTGATCTTCATGACATTGGTAGACTAAGTTTTCAATGAGGCCAGGTTCCCGCGGGCGCTTTCCGCGCCTGGGCCATCAGTCTGGTAAAGCTTGCAAGTGTCCAGGCAGGGCAGGGCCCTAAAGCCCCCAACCGCTGTAGACGTGGCTTCGCACAGCCCTGTTCAAGGCCGACCTTGAAATTGAGGACTTGGCCGAGGTCTTTCGCGAGGCGATCCCGGCCCTAGACTAGACTCGACTAGACCTCAAAGAGAGAGTGCAGCCTTGGGTTGTGGTGTAAGCAAGACGGCGAACGGAAGAACAAGAAGAACGCACCAAATCGCCGAACCTTCTGCCCGGAAAACAGCTTCGGCGCAAGCTGGAATTCGTGCTTGTATTTTTGTTGTGCACGAGTTGTTTGGAGTTTGGCGTCGCTCATGATGAACTTGTGGACAAGCCTCCGCATCGACCATGGTGAGTAGGCTTTGCAAGGCAGGCACTCGATATTATCGTCGGAGCTGTAGCGTCTTGGACGGGTCCGGAGGCCTAGAAAGTGGCTGACGTCATAGCAACTTGGGCCTCTGCTTTTCAGGACCCGTAGGCCGTAGGCCTGTCCTGGATGGGAGAGTTTGTGCCCGGGCGCCGGTCACACCCCCAACTCTTCGCGCGTAACGGGACTACTAGCGGAGCAGGGATCGGTCTGTCACCCACAACTGGGAAGTGTCAAACGTTGCCAAGATACGGATCCAAGCAACCTGACCAGCGAATGTGCTGCTCGACGACGCACCCGAAGGAGCTGGAAGCACTGCGATTATGCGGCAGAATGATACAAGTGACTGAGGTCAGCATGTGGCAACATCCAAAAGGACGATCACATGCATTGTGCCCATGACAGTCAATCTCAAGTACTCTGACGGTCCGCGCACCGAACGTGACCACCAGAAGGCTTCGATGTTGGCTGGCGGTACGAGTGCGCCTGCAGCGAAACAAGACAGCTACTGGGTAGGTTGGCTGACAGTGTTGCTTTTCGGTGTAGGCGGCCTTTGAAGTGCTGACATGGCACCGCCGATGCAGGGAGTGAAGGGAAGAACTAGAGCAACCTACCATTGCACGTGCGAGGTGTGAGAGCAAAGACCTTGCTGAAAACTTGCACCGCAGTGTCAGGCCATGGAAAGCACAGTTCCTGGAGACCTCGCTTTGGGAGCTACAACTTGGGCATACGCAATGCAGCTCAAAGGCGATGAGATGTGTGCAACAGTTTTTAAAAACAATAAGACAATTACAATAGAAAAGACAAATACATCTCAATATTGAAATTCATAGTGCTACTAGTGATCATCAAACAATAACAATGAACTATGCCAATAAAAACCGCGCATGGGGCGGGTCTCCGTTTCCTGGTGCCAAGGTACGTAGCCGAGTGGAAGCTCATGTCTGCCACGCCTGGAGAATGACCTGACCTCTTGCGATGAGCTGACAAAGGGGGGGATTCTGCTTCCCCTCAGGGATGGGATGGGGCCCTTGTGGAACGAAATTAGGGGTATTTCTGACGCTTCTGCTAGGTTTCCGGATCTTCTTGTGTTTTCAGCGCAATGGTCGGCTCCAGCTAGGGAAGATTTCGCCGATGTCGCGGGCCATGGCAGGCTCGCCCACAAAACACCTGCTTGGAGGTTCATGGGTAGTTATAAGTGGGGTTATAAGTCCCCTAATATGGGTTATAATTAGAGTTACACTACTTATAACCCTACTTACAACTACCAATGAACCTCCAAGTGCTGGGGCATTGTCACTTCCGTCGGCGCGATTTCGAGGCGAGCAGCCGCTGTCGGCGCGGTCGTCTGACGGTGAGATGCGCAGCGCGTAAATGCCATCGTGGACACTGCTCAATTCTGAGCCTGTTTTCGTGCACCGAGGCCTTGCCAGCATGCAGCAACATGGCAGAATTACTGTCTGGATGGGAAAACTGTGCTACACACTTCGTCTCCAGACGCATCCTGTTGCCACGGCGCGTCGAAAGGCAAAAAATGATGCGCCAGCGTGAGCTGGTGCTGAAGAGGCAGACAGAAGCAGCAAAATCCTTTGGGGTTGCATCCTGAGCTTCAGACAAGACCCGTACGAGACTTGAAGGGTTGGAAGAGCCACTGCACTTCTCCTTCGAGGTGGTCGCCCAGCAGCATCCTCCACCAGGGCCAGCTGACACACCACGCCAGGCCCGAGATCGGGGGCTTCCAAGGTCAAACTCCCAGATCTGGGGGTTTCCGAAAATAGGGGACCCTGATATAGTACCCTAAAAAGTAGGATCCTTCACATAAGGACCTACCCTATATAGTAGGATCCTTCATATAAGGACCCCAAAATAAGGTACCCCTTATTTTCGGAAACTCCCAGATTTTCCTGTGAAAACAGCTCGGCAGCTTCTTCCCTTCCTTGGAGGTGCTCAGTGCGAGGGCTCCGCCGGATGCACCACGGGTCGGCATCGTCGGATCCGCAGAAGTGCAGGAGGCGCAGATGGGTTTTTAGTTTTTCTGTGCCCAGAGATTTCAGCAGTCACCCCTCAATATTCCGACGAAGAAGCTTTCCTGGCCATCTTTGTTTGGCAGCACTCGCGTGCCGAGTCTGCTTGCCTCTATACTCTGTGTTAGGAGGCCGCGGAGGCTGTCGTGGAACATGACCAGGTCCCACAGGCGTTTGCACACGTAACGCTGCGATTCTGCGTGTTCATTCTGTGGCCTGGAGGCCCCACCACTGGAATATTCATTGGCATCATTGGAAGAAGAGCTTCTCGCCAGTGGCAAGGCAGCCGTCGTACTATACTATGCTAGACTACACAGTTTGTACTGTAAGATAAAGATTTCATAATGTACAGTCATGGAATACAATGGACTATAGTGGAACTATGTGGAACTTATAATGGAATACAATATAATCTTGCAGGCCATTGAGCTCGACGAGGCTGAAGACCGCGGTCCGGACCACTTAGGACACGGTCAGCTTCCCAGTGCGGGGGTGTGCCGCTGGCACCCAGCGGCTCGTTCCGTTCTTGGCGACAGCAATGAGGCTGGGATCTGGAGGTGGACAGAGGCAGAGCTCAGAGCGCTCCTGCAGCTAGACTCCTGTTCTTGAATTGTGGTGGTTCTGAACCTGTGTGCGGCAGAGTTCAGCCAGGAAATTGCATGCACGAAGTCGTAGACATAGCGACGACAGTTACCTCCAACTTGCCCCAGTGCTTCTTCCACACAAACGGACACAAGCGCAGGCGACGAGAAGCAGACCCGCGCCAAGAGGAGCTTCTGGCGACCTTGGAAAGCAGAGCAGAGTGCCATGCTCTGCATTTCTCGGCTTTGCTGAGCATTTGCAAGTGTTCCTCTTCCCAACTCCACCGCACACTGCCTGCAGCAGCGAGGTGATGCTGCCGCTCGGATGCAAGTTGTGCTTGGGATCGGACGCAGCTGCTCAACTGAGAGCTCATGTGGCAGCTCGTTCAAGGTGGCGAACTGTCCTGTTGACGAGGTGTCGTGCAACTCGGCAGCATACGAAGGGTTTGCAGCAGGCCGCAAGGTGCAGACTCGCACGCGTTGGCCACAAAATCAGCGCAGAGGAAGCGCTGAGACGCACGATTCCCTACATGGCACACCTGAAACAGCCTGAAATAGCACTTCCAACTGCTGCCACCGGGCATTTCATGAATCGGGGCATCGTTCGCTCTCTACGAATCTACGAATCAGTGGGTATCAGCTCGCGACCGATCACCGAAATTTTCGCGAGATCAGCGAGCTTGATTTCAACATACTCCAAAATACAGCAGCAAGAGCTGCCATAGGTTCAGGCTAAACTTGAATCTCAGCCCCAAGGCTTTCATGATGCCTTCTTTTCCCCCCCAGGCGTGGATCTAGATGCCTTGGGTGGAGACTCTCCTGAGCCTGGAAGAGACCGGACACTTCACTGCATTGTGGCTCCAGGCGAATGCCGTGAGTTAAGAGATTTATTGTTTAGGAATCAGCGCTAGAGTTCTGTTCCGGTAATAGGAACGAGGATAAGATGGCGGCGGGATGTCCAGACGAGGTCTCGCGTTGTTCACCGCCTGTTTCGGGAGTGTGAGAGTCAGCGAATTGGCGATGAGGTCACATGAGGGGGAGCGTGCGAAGCTGTTCTCCAGTTGCTTGTTGGTTTGACCAAGCTCAGGAAGCACGTAGGCTTCGGAGAGGTGGAGGACGGCAGCATCCTCAGATGTGCCCATACCTCCAAACCCGTGATGGCAGTGACGAGTCTACCGAGGAATCTCGAAGTCTGGGGTCTGGGACTTATTTGGGAGTTTCCGAAAATAAGGGGTTCCCTGTTTTGGGGTCCTTATAATAAGGATCCTACTATTTAGGGTACTATATTAGGGTCCCTATTTTCTGAAACCCCTATTTCGGATGCTCGGTCACCAGTGTACCGCCATTTGCCTTCGCTTCAGTTGAAGAAGTCATGCGGCGAGGCCACATCTGCTTTGAATATGGGGCGAGTTGCCACCCCATGGACGGGTTCATCCAAGGCCGGAGAGGGGCAATTTTAGAGTTCCCCTCCTCCTTTTGGTGTACTGGTGCAGGCGGGCTTAGATTCTCTGCTCCCTGGAGAACTCCAGCAGGATATGGCATCGAATGGCAGCATGGTTGAGCAGGACCCATGCAACTTTTACGTTTGCCTCGCAGGACATGACATTGAGCTCATCGGCCCTTGAAATTGTGGAAGAGGGCACGGGCCATAAAGGTGTGCGGAGCAGTCCTGTCCGGCCATGCCACAGCCAGATCTCCTGCAGGCTTCGCATCTGGACTCCCGCTTTCAGATAACAACGCATGACACGATCCGGCACAGCTCGGCTGACTAAGACAATTCTCTTCAGGTGTGGCTTGATGACTCAACTTGATGACTCGACATATTGAGCGGTCAACTCTTGCATGGAGGGCCGCGCGCTGAAACTAGCACTGCGCTCCTCCAAGGAAGGTGTGCTTTCCACTGCGCTTTCCACTCTGCGGGTAACCTTTGTTGCAGAGCAGATGATTCACAACAGCGAGGTGGAACAGCACTTAGATAGGGCTGCTTGTCTCCAAAGGAGTGTAGCACCAACGATAGATTTTTATACTGTCTGCTGCCTGCCGAAGTTGATACTGCACAGGGGCCCCGACCCTGCAGAGGACATGCACTTGTGCAATCGTGTTGCAAGCATTCAGGCGTGGGCCCAGACACCTAGCTTCCAGAAAGATGATCCCTGCC